TTGTACACACAATCATACTCCCCAAACATACTCAAGATAATACCCCAGGTCCAGGTACCCTCGCCCACAGAGGGGGAAACTGCACCTGGACCCAGGAGATGTTACCCTTTCCAAGCAGACTGCCAGTGCCCGGCAGCAACAGGGAGACCCCGCATTTCAGACCCCAATCGGACGGCCAGCCCCTTCACCCAGATGTCTAACAGAGAACAGGGGTGTGTGAAAACTCCATACCTCCCTCCTCCCGCTCATGTGTAGTGTTGCTAGGGTTGTTCTAAAGTGCATTTAAAACACAGAAGGTGCTTCCTGGCAGAGAGCAGCAGGTGTTAGCACAGCCCGTCCCGAGAACCCTCAATGTCTACATGCATTTAAAATTGAGAGGTGGGCACCGGCGCCAGAGGTGAGGTTGAATACACAGACCGACCTCTGGACGCCGTACTACCCGAAGGCCCTATATGTATGTGTTATGAGAGTGTGAGTAATGTGGATTTCTAAGTTGTGGAATACAAATTAGACACAGGTGGCCAGAAGGGGACAGAAGGTACAGTTGCTTTATGTCAATTTCGTGGAATGGAAATGAATTATGAGTTGTACAAAAATGCCAGTGTGCCATCATCTACTGAACATTCAATGGATAATCTCTTAAACATCAATCTAATATTCAGCTTAATAATTTTATTCTTAGACTTCTCGATATACAGATCAGAAAAGGTGTTGCATTTGGATAATTGAATAAACTGTGCTGAATGGTGCAATTTAATTAATCAAAAAGGACATTTTTAAGCCTAATCTAAAAAGTAGATTGTGTGTCTGGGAACCCAAACTGGAAACTGGTTGCACATAAGAAGGGCCTGAAAGCTGAATGCTCCGCCTTCCAATTTCAATCGATTGCATGGTGGCAGAAAATGTTGGTTTATGTTATAGAGGCGCAATGTATGAAGATGTTGCCTCCCTAAGACAATGACCAGAGGGGTAACTGGTTTCCTGTTCAACAACTTGTGGTGCTGCAAGAATAGAAAAAGGGACACACGTTGAGCTGAAGTGAGTTTCACAAAAGTAAAACTTTGTCAGAAAAAAGAATTGCCCTTATAGCAGTCTTATTGCACATGTGTGGATGTGTTAGATCAGTTGAAGTCTTTGTTGTGGAGTCTGACAGCAGTGGGGAGGAAAGACCTGCGAAATCTCT